TGGCGTTTTACTACTGGTATCAAATGATCACCTGTTATTTTCTTACCATCTTTTTCTAATTGCCCATCTGGATTGACAATGAAGTTCCTCAATTTTTTAATCATGTGGGGGTAATCCGATAGCCACCAGATTGGTTTTTGGTCATTAAAAGGATTATATGTCACCCAGTTCTGTGCTCCAGCAGTATTGAAAAAGGCATGTGAATATGTTGAACCACCTGAAACACCATAATAACTTCTATTCTTTTGCCATTTTCAAGATCAAGGCTGCCAATGGCTTCACATATATACTTGCCATACAAGAGAAGAAAGAATTTTGTGGTCAATTATTTGTAATGGAAAAGAAGCCACTGGCCATGAAAGTCCCCCTCTATTGATGAATAAAAAAACTGGCAAATATGTTTGGCTTGGCTTTTTCAGATGGATTTGCAGATTCTTCATTTGAAAACATTTCATTAGTGTCAGAATCAGAATCAAAAGGGCCAATAGTGTCAGAATCACTTGATTCAGTGGTATTTTCATCATCTACATTTTGAAGATTATTTGGACCCATATTTAGTTCTGAGTTGATAGTCAAGTGTTCAAATCCAACTAATTCCCCAGTTCTCTTACAAAGTACTGTACCTTCCTTTACAATCATTTCATTCCAGTGAATACCTCCGACTTCCTTACAATCCCGTTTTCTCATTTCTCGTACCATGAATGCCAAGTTTTGTTCAGATATTGGGTTTGTTGTACGAGCTGCCTTTCTGTATTGCCTGACAGTCTCCCAGGTTGGTATGGGTAGAATGCTTCTTATAACATCATATCCTTTCTGATGGCACTTAGTAGCTATCAAACAACTCCATTTAATGACAAGAGGATGACATCTCATACCTTTGGGATGTGGCTTCTAATTACCTTTTCGTTAGATTTTTATGCCTTAAACATTCCTCTTCCTGACGTTTAAGAGATGTCAAAGTATCAGTAAGTAGGGCATACAAAACAGAGTTTTCAGTGAGCCACTGGTTTTGTAAGGCAATATCCATCAATTTCCCTAGTTCCAAGGATGTGGGGCTGTAATTTTTTGGTGCTTCAACTTTTTTTGTTTTTCTCTATGATGCAATAAGTAGTATCGCTTTGCCCTTTTATGGGTTTGTGCAACCATTTCGTGAAGTTTTTTGGCTCTAGTTATAAGTTCAGCTCGAGTTAGAGTGCTGAGATTGGCATGGGAGTCATGAGCTGTGCTGGATTGTGTCCTTTCAGGACATGATTGTTTTAGCAAATGCCTGTGAGACCTTACAAAACCCTGGCATTCATGACATCGTACTCTTGAGTCCTTAGCTAAAATTTAAGAACACTTGGTGCTTCTTATACATTTAACAATTTTCTTATCAGAAATTGATTTGTGATAGTCAACTTGGTATAACAATTTAAGTCCTTTTCTTTCAGCATAATCAAGCAGTGTGGGATCATTTATTGTAGGACAAACTTGTAATTCATCAGTTGTTCTGAGTAGCATTTGTAGAGCATTTTTAAAAATGTTTGGCTGAAAGATGATTTTTGGAAGTTCCCCATAGTCCACTTTGTTTCCCATGATGTTTACTGTGAAATGACAAATTTCATTTTCTGTTGTATTTGGCGTGTTTAAGGGAAGAAAAAAGGTAATTTCTTTCCAGTTTGGTATTTGAACACCCTCTGTTACATTTATATTTGGCTTAGTAAGAACAACCTTAAGATTGTAATCAGTTGTTTTTAGAATTTGAAAAAGTTATTGTCCATGGAAAGATGTCATGAAGAATGGATTCAAAGATTCTGTATGAATTGGCGATCAAGGCCCCCCCAGGCACTTGGTAACATTCTCCAGAAGCATAGCATCCACCAGTTGTGTTTGGTGTAGGTCTGTGTTCTTCCAGGAGTTGCAGTAACCCTTTCGCAAAAAATCCCTCCTTTTAGGTCTGAAAGTACATCAGGCAACTCAAATGTTGCTTCTGGTTCGCCAGATGCTTGAGTGGAAGTGATGCTCCCTGCTCTTGATTTGGTTTGAATCACAAAGTCAGCAGTTAAAATTGATGGATTGGTACTTTTTTGTGTCTTTTCAAACATAGCGTGAGCTTTCTTGTACTCATCTTGTATTTTGACAGATTTTAAAAAGAATGGTTGACATGACATGCATATAAAGTTTACTTGAGATTTATCATTTGAATCTCTAGTTTGATATAGGTGTTGGTGAAAGTCAGTTTTACTTCCATTTGTCTCATCTAGAAAGTTGCATGCCACTGAAAACAAATTGTTAAACACATTAATATTGTGTTTCAGGCAGGGAATGTCAATGTAAGACAAACATTTTTATTGCACTGTGAACATTGCACAATGCATGGATTGACCTTCAAAATTCCATTATAGGCGTCACTTCGGGTTTTGGATTGAGTTTTTTACCCTTTGCGGGCTTGTGCCCTCTGGATGCCAAACTAGAATAGTGTTTGTTACACACTCTTAGATTGTTAACATCATCTTGATCAGTAAGTTCTTGGAGGACAACTTCAATTCATACCTTCCAATTAAGCTGTCAAATTTTCGAATGCTAACATCATTTTCGCACCCCTTAAGGCAACATTCTGCACCTCCAGTTAAACGCCCATTCATTAAAACAGCCCCTGCTGATATTTCCTGTAAAGGCACAAAGTCATGTTGTAAAGGTTTGCCTTTATTTGAAAGCCAGTATAAATCACTGTTATGTTGAATTTCGAATTAATGTGTGATTTCAAGTCAAAGACCATTCCATGTGGAGCAAAGATAAAAGAGTGTGATTTCCCTGTTACATCAATAACTAAAATAGATGTAACAAACCTTTTTGACCTGAACACCATACCAAAGCAAAAGCCGGGGCGATGATATTCAACCAGTTTTATACAAGGATAACCAATTAATAACATGCCAAAGAAAATATTCAAAGAAGGGAACAACAGGGGAAGATCTGTGGGATAGACAGAGTTAGCATCAAGCTCTTGCCAACTGTTGTTGTTGAGATTACCAAATAAGAAACTGCAAGAAATTCACAGGGTAGAGCAGATAGAGTCAGAATGAGGACAGTGGCTGCTAAGTAAAAGGGAACTGAATGGCCCACTGCCAGAGTTCGAGTTGGAGAAAGGTTCAATAAGATGCTGTAGTACAGTAAAAGGCATGTAATTAACCATAACCAAAAAGAGAAAAATCTTGGATGCTAGACTCCAAAAATAATGCACAAGAGAAAATCTGCATTTAGATTTGATCTGCAAGCAACTCTTATAAATAGGTTCAAGGAAATGTAAAACTAATCTTATAATGACACAGAAGGGAAAAAAAATCATCTCCAACAAAGAATTTAAGGTATGGCTGTACTTGACAATTTTCTTTGAACAGGTGTTGTAAATTTTTTCCCATTTTATGAAGATAAGAATTGAAGGCATCCCAGAAACCAAAGTGAAGGTTGAATAAAAGAAACTGGATAGAAAAGTTGACATGACATTGCCTTATTCTTAGGTGCTGCAAACACAAGCATAACACCAGTAACAATGCCCATTGAAGCACACATAAATTGGAATCAATTTGCCTGTTTAACTCTTGCCTTACTCCATAACACTTTTCCATTTTAATTTCAATTTGGAAAGAGTTTGATGGGATATAAAGACAATAAGGCATCCTTGCAATAGTTGGAAAAAGCTTTTGCAAAAGCTGCCATTATTACATGACTGTATAGAACAGATGCCACCAGATGCACCAAACAATAGCATTGCTCAGGGAAAAAACAAGTAGTATGAAACACTAAATCATACAACAAAACAGTTGTTACCAATATTACAATAAATGCCATTCTTTTATTCATGTTAATGTAGCTTTTTCTTTGCTTTCTCCTAATTAAATAATATAATTATTATTATTAATACTAAAAGATTATTAGATAAATATTAAGCCACTTTCCTTTTAATTACTATTATATCTAACTATTTAACTGCAATCACTATAATTATTTCCCTTTTCACCTAATTCATTATGGAATACTTAAATTGTAAATTAATAGTTGCGAATTTATATACTTCACCCATCTCAGTTGTGTTCAAATACTATGTAAATAACTTCATGTTCTCATACACAAAATTTAACAATATTTATCAATAATTACAACACCCACTTGGTTTTTTTTTTTAAGGAACTATCAAACAATATTCAAACAAATGCCTGCAAGAGCAACACCACACGATGACAAGTTCAGCAAAACAACCGCAGCAACAATTTACTTTAAAGAGCAAGCAACAATTTAAGCTAAAAAAACCAAAACTACCACATACAATCAATTTTCAAAAAGCCAATTTACCAGCGTAAAAGCCCCCAAATATTGAGCCACAAAATGAAAACTGATTTCCCTTTTCCAGCCATTCACCAGTTGTTGTTGTTTTTTTTTCAGATTCCGGTGTTTCGATCTTTCGAACCTATTTATTTACTTTACATCTGCAAGGGGTCCAAAAAATCAGGATTTTACAGTTTTTCTTTTCTTTTCTAACAAAGCTGGTGTGGATGCCGCAGAATGGTCCTATAGAATTCGCCGAAGAAGAAGCTAACAAAAGAACAGTTCTCAATCGCAGAACATATAGGAAGCGCTCCGGAAGACGAACCGGACAAAAACACGGACCCAACGGCGGCAAAGGCAAGAACGGTGGCGACAACAACGGTTCGCCCGACCGCAAGAAAGGAAGAGGGAGTAATCCGCGTTGTCCAGAATCCGAGGGAACTGGCTCTAAGTACCCGCCTCTTAGGTCACAGCCAACTGATCCTGGTTAATGTACATATCATTAAAATGGTGGGGAGTGACGCGGGGATCTACCCACCACCACTCGTTAAGGTGGGTTATTCAAACGATCCCCTTCGGCGAAGACGAGATCTTGTTGCTGGGAATCCTTTCAGATTGGAATTTGCAAACAAGTGGAAGGTTTTCAACAAGGCGGCAGCAGAAAATCTTGCTAAAGCGGCACTAACAGATCTTAAATTTCGTGTCAGTGGAGGAGGAACTGAATGGCACAAACTCCCGCGAGGAGGTATTGGAGGTTTTGCACGAATAGTCGAATGCGCAGTTGATGAGTATATTGATGTGAACGATGGTGGTGGCAGCAGCAGCAGAGGCCGCCGCAGGCACGACTTTTTATCGTCACCAATTAATCCGTGTCTTGCTCCTAATCAAGAAGGCGCAGTCATGTCTCCGAATAACAGACATTTCAAACCACGATTTCCCGGCATTGGCAACACAAAATGGCGACAAGCGCTCAAAGGAAATGTTTTGCAAATTAAATTTAATTGTGAATAACAATTTCTGAAGCCATTACCAATAAAAACATACCAAAACTTTTCTTCGTACTGAAAGAAGAAAATGAATCTACGCTGAACATTTTCTGCAAAAACCAGAGTCGATGATAGGTATTTTTTCTAAATCGACATTAACCTACCTATTAACAGTAGAAAAACAATGTAAACGCATGCCATGGCAATAAATAAATGAAAGAACATGATAATGCTTTACATAGCCTGCAGTGCAGGCGTTTTCTTCGGGCGCGCGAATGTTTTGCTTGCGAACGCGCCATGCTGAAATTCGAAAAGAGAGGAGAAAATGGGCTAGTCAAAAGGAGAGGGGTAGGGGGCGGGGAGTGCCTAACACCTTCCCTAAGGGTTACTATTTTTCCCCTCTATAATTTTCCTCCGTCATAACATCAAGGATAGAGATAGACCACTACACCGGGGACTACGACCCTTACTCTTTACGAACAGCGTGTGGGTTCTTTAACGTCCCTCAGAATTTATATATGCAAGGGTTGTGAGACTGGGCGTACGGTTTTTCGTCCTTATCCGAGAAGACTAGAAAGTCCAACGGTTGGCAGATGTCTTTACAAAGGCAGCACTTTCTCCTCAGTTATTTAAAGACCCTGAGTGTTGGTCCGGCCGGGACTTCAACCAGCGGCATCCCGCTCGGTAGACCGGCGCTTATCCAACAGAGCTAACCGGCCGGCGGGCAAAGGCAAACTAGCTCTTTTTAGCACGAAAGACAATGTTTTACTTACCCCAAACCCTTCCTACTTCTCCGCAATTAATTTCCATCCACGACCACATCTACCGTACATCGACCTCACATCGACCCAACGTGGACCCTGACCCTACCCTCGACTTTTTTTTCCACCACCACATTTCTATTGTTTTCCTCCACCACCACCACCACGTTTTTTATTGTTTTCCTCTTCCACCATCACCGCCACCACATTTCTACTGTTTTCCCTCCACCAACACAACCGCCCCCACATCATAAGCCAGAGGCCCGATTTTAATGCACGCCGGCTGGAGGCCTAATCTCCACAGCAACCAACGCAGATCGGTTTCAAATAACAGACAGGCGTTACTTTCGTTACTTTAAAGGAGAAGCCTTGAGAATCCTACGAACAAACTCCTCAAAAACTGCGTTTGAGGAAAATATTTCAAATTTCAAAAAACGCTTGGCTGACAGAGGCTACCCACAAACTATGATAGAAAACCTTCCATCAGATATAAAGTTCACAGAGAGGGAGTCTGCTCTCGTGTAACACAACAACGAAGAGGAAAAAGAAATATTGCCTGAACATAGCATAGCATCCACCAGTTGTGTTTGGTGTAGGTGTGTGTTCTTCCAGGAGTTGCAGTAACCCTTTCGCAAAAATCCTAGGTCTGAAAGTACATCAGGCAACTCAAATGTTGTTTCTGGTTCCCCAGATGCTTGAGTGGAAGTGATGCTCCGTGCTTTTGATTAGGCTTCAATCACAGGGTCAGCAGTTAAACGTGATGGATTGGTTCTTTTTTGTGTCTTTTCAAACATAGCGTGAGCTTTCTTGTACTCATCCTGTATTTTGACAGATTTTAAAAAGAATGGTTGACATGGCGTGCATATGTAGTTTACTTGAGATTTATCATTTGAATCTCTAGCTTGATATAGGTGATGGTGAAAGTCAGTTTTACTTCCATTTGTCTCATCTAGAAAGTTGCATGCCACTGAAAACAAACTGTTAAACACATTGGTATTGTGTTTCAGGCAGGGAATGTCACTGGAAAGACAAACATTTTTTTTGCACTGTGAACATTGCACAATGCATGGATTGACCTTCAAAATTCCATTATAGGCATCACTTCGGGTTTTGGATTGAGTTTTACACTTTGCGGGCTTGTGCCCTCTGGATGCCAAACTAGAATAGTGTTTGTTACACACTCTTAGATTGTTAACATCATCTTGATCAGTAAGTTCTTGGGGAACAACGTCAATTCATACCTTCCAATTAAGCTGTCAAATTTTCATTAAAACAGCCCCTGCTGATATTTCCTGTAAAGGCACAAAGTCATGTTGTAAAGGTTTGCCTTTATTTGAAAGCCAGTATAAATCACTTGTTATGTTGAATTTTGAATTAATGTGTGATTTCAAGTCAAAGACCATTCCATGTGGAGCAAAGGTAAAAGAGTGGGATTTTCCTGTTACATCAATAACTAAAATAGATGTAACAAATCTTTTTGACCTGAACACCATACCAAGCCAAAAGCCAGGTGATGACATTCAACCAGTTTTACACAAGGATAACCAATTAATAACATGCCAAAGAAAATATTCAAAGAAGGGAACAACAGGGGAAGATCTGTGGGAATGATATAGACAGAGCATCAAAGCTCTTGCCAACTGTTGTTGAGATTACCAAATAAGAAACTGCAAGAAATTCACAGGGTAGAGCAGATAGAGTCAGAATGAGGACAGTGGCTGCTAAGTAAAAGGGAACTGAATGGCCGACTCCCAGAGTTCGAGTTGGAGAAAGGTTCAACAAGATGCTGTAGTACAGTAAAAGGCATGTAACCACCACCAAAAAGAGAAAACATTTTGATGATAGACTCCAAAAATAGTGCACAAGAGAAAATCTGCATTTAGATTTGATCTGCAAGCAACTCTTATATAGAGGATCAAGGAAATGTAAAACTAATCTTATAATGACAACAGAAGGGGAAAAAAATCATCTCCAACAAAGAATTTAATGTATGGCTGTACTTGACAATTTTCTTTGAACATTTTTTCCCATTTTATGAAGATAAGTATTGTAAGCATCCCAGAAACCAAAGTGAACGTTGAATAAAAGAAACTGGATAGAAAAGTGAGATGACATTTTTAGGTGCTGCAAACACAAGCATAACACCAGTAACAATGCCCATTGAAGCACACATAAATTGGAATCAATTTGCCTGTTTAACTCTTGCCTTACTTCATCACACTTTTCCATTTTAATTTCAATTTGGAAAGAGTTTGATGGGATATAAAGACAATAAGGCATCCTTGCAATAGTTGGAAAAAGCTTTTGCAAAAGCTGCCATTATTACATGACTGTATAGAACAGATGCTACCAGATGCACCAAACAATAGCATTGCTCAGGGAAAAAACAAGTAGTATGAAACACTAAATCATACAACAAAACAGTTGTTACCAATATTACAATAAATGCCATTCTTTTATTCATGTTAATGTAGCTTCTAAAAGATTATTAAATAAATGTTAAGCCACTTTCCTTTTAATTACTATTATATCTAACTATTTTTAAAATTGCAAACACTATAATTATTTCCCTTTTCACCTAATTCCTTATGGAATTCTTAAATTGTAAATTAATAGTTGTGAATTTATATGCTTCACCCAGCTCATGATCAGTTGTGTTCAATTACTATATAAATAGCTTAATGATCTCATACACAAAATTTAACAATATTTATCAATAATTACAACACCCACTTTGTTTTTGTTTTTTTTGAGGAACTATCAAACAATATTCAAACAAATGCCTGCAGGAGCAACACCACACGATGACAAGTTCAGCAAAACAACCGCAGCAACAATTTACTTTAAAGAGCAAGCAACAATTTAAGCTAAAAAACCAAAACTACCACATACAATCAATTTTCAAAAAGCCAATTTACCAGCGTAAAAGCCCTCAAATATTAAGCCACGCAAGAAACCAAAGTTTATAATTATGATATAAGGACCGTGAGACAAAATATTTATAAATAGTCAGCAAAGAATGAAAGACACTGCCTCAGCGACAAAGAAATCCATCACAGCTGTAAAATTTGTTGAAGAACTAGATAGAGGCCCACACTCGAAAGGTATGATATGAAGTTAAGTCGTTTAAACCAGCGAAAGAATAGATGAAATACAAACGTGTATGATCTGTCAATGAAACCTCCTATTTTGGAGACTAGACCTTGCCTATTTTAGAGAAAAAAAGGATTTATGTTTTGATGACCTTGCCGGTCCCGTGAAAAAGATGGCGATCCCGCAACACGGCCCGCAAAACAAATTAACAAATTACACAATTACGGACAAAAAATAACAAAATGGTTTACACAAGCAGATTATGGTAACAACAAAGCTTACACAATTACGATCAAATTAGCAATATATAGCGATATTTTCTAGCTTCTTAGCTTTTCCTTGACCTCGCTCGCCCTACTAACTGTCGTATCCCTTGCTAATTTGCACAAGCGACCCGAGGCTCTTGCCCGTTACTATGTTACGTCATACTGGCAGGCGGAGTGGGTCAAGAAACTTAGGTGGAAAACAATAGAGTTACCCTCCCCCCCCTCCCATTGTAAAACTCACATTTCTTCTGAAAACTAACATGGAGGTCGATCGATAGTGAAGACGCCAACCTTTAGAGCCTGCTTAACACAGAAGCCGAAACCTCTCAGAGCCTGCTTAACACAGAATACGATCAACTGATCGGTGGAGAAGACGCAAACAGCAGCGACAGCGAGGACTATGGGCTGACAAGTTACCCGAACAACCTCAACCACAAGTATCAATAAGAGGGAAGAACGAGCAAAAAAGAAAAATTTGAAAAGGAAAGCAAGCGAAGTTCCAACCACAACAACAGCAAAGATAAAGAAAACAGAAGAATCCATTAAACCTCTAAGAAATTATTTGGAAAGGAACACTTGTCCGAAGCCA